AATTTAAAAATAGAAAAATAGGAAATTAATTCCAAAAATAGGTTTTAAAATTTCTATTCAATTACAAATAACAAGTATTCTACAGAGAAACTACTTAATAAGAATAATATCAACATAACCCAAACAGTAATTCCGAAAATTACTGAACAAAATTATATTAGGTCCAGTATCTAAATATGGTCACCTAGTTAAATTTTTAATGGGATAAATTTTTGTCTCCAAAATTTATTGACTAATCTACAAAAACAATAACGGTAAAAACTACTAAACTAGTAACTTCGTAAGCCGGCTCTGATACCACTGTTGGGAAATGAGGCTTGGATAACGCAGCGGAAAACAAAAATTTATAGTCCAAAACTCTATTCCACCCAAGAACAACTTACGTAAATTACTAGCTATAGTAAGAAATTTACCTTAACGGTGAAAACGGAGAACGGAGGAACGGTCGGGGATGGTTTTGAGGAGATGAACGTAGCGCCAAACGTATGAAGCCTCCAACGTATCCACACGAACTTGCTCCGGAGTCCAAGATTAAACTTGTGCTAGCAAGTTTAATATAGGATAGTAAAAACTATAATAATACTACTTTGGGAGTAATAAATATATAGTAAAATATTTATCTTATAAATATTTCTTTATAATATTTTGTGTATATTTCTAACACTTTAGAAATATATATATATATATATATATATATATATATATTGAAAAATGGATAATATCATTTTGGAAAATTATATCTCAGTAATAAACAAGTTGAATTTTTCAAAATACTAAATTTTATAATTTACTGATTTTGGAAAAATTATTTAAAATTGTTTTCACAATTATTGGGATATAATTAATATATTTTGGAAATAAATATTTAAAATTCTGAAAATTTTTTCATAACTATAAATGTCTAAAATAGTTACTGGAATTTGAAATTTAATTTTCTTAATCTTTGAAAAATTATTTTGAATTAAAATCATTTTTCGAAATTATTTTTTCCTAAAGTGCGTTTCTGTAATTCTGTATCTACTGGAACTTTTTCTTCTAGTTTTGACCCTGGACGAACGTCGCTTAATATATTTAGGATGACTTGTAAAATTTCATAATTTTTGGACCACTTGATGCATTTTTATGAATTTTAGAAAATATTACCAACGTAGTATTTTTCTATAATTGTTTGGGGCGAGCGCGGTTCGCCTGCTATATGTATATTTTTATTGCCTGTGTGGATGCATGATATGCACAGTGATGGATTGTGGCTATAGTTTATTTGATTATATATATAATACGGCCCGCGTGTCGTTCCTTATCTCTTAAACTCTTGTTCTAAATCTATTTCTCTCTCTTACCTAAACCGATGATTCTTTTCTCACGTGGTGATTAGAAGATGAGAAAATTTGAAGTCCGTTCGAGGGAATCTAAATGAATGGAGATAGCCCAAGTTCCAAGTACAAGGAAGTCAGTGGGAGCTATCGTTTTATTTTCGCTTTAGGGACCACAGTCATTACACGTTTATTTACTGCGTATTTTGAATGCATGTGAATGTATTTTTAACGCTAGTAAATTGACACGTGTGCGACATGTGTCGTAGGCGAGATCGTAAGATTTAAAATCCCTCGAAATATTAAGTCTATATTGCCTTCCACCACCTGGCACCATTCCGACTAATGTGCACTGTCACGTACTTAGCCCTAGCAGAGCATTGTATGGTGTATGCTATGCTGGTCACGGGAATCACTAAAGTGGTCACTGTTAGACGTTGGGTTAGACTTAACTGAGTCTCGGTCAAATGAATGGATGACTCAAAGGCGATTTTTGTTGGGATCACTAAATTGACGAGTCAAATTACTTTACTCACTCATCCATCCAGAAGTTGGGTCTCTATGACTTAATTGGGCTTTGCCCTAACTAAAGTAGTTGCGATGAAACGGTGAAACGGTGTTCAGGTCCGTTAGTAGTATTGTCGTTCGCCCAACACAAGACCAAGAACTATGAGCACGGCTCGACAGTTGGAACTACGTTCCTGGCCAGCATGATCCCGGAGCTCCAAAGGCTCCACAAGAACATGGAAGCGCGCCCCATGATGCAATGCTTGAAAGACCTTTACCAAGGTCAGGCTAGGCATGAACGCTTCAAGATCTCTAAGACTTTGTTTTCTAGCAAGCTGGCATCAGGATCTCCAGTTGGCCCATTCGTTCTCAAGCTAATCTCCAGATGGTTCTCACATCTGTACTTCTATGTAGGATCTGCTGTTAGACAAATGTGCAACTCTAGAGGGGGGGTGAATAGAGTTGCTTTCAAGAATGTGCGTTTTTCGCATGTGTGAAATAATAAAATCGCAGGAATAAATAAAGAGAGTAAGGGAAAGAAGAACACCGAGATTTATACTGGTTCACTACCTCGTGACTAGTCCAGTCCTCCGAGAGACTCTCTCGAAAGTCTTACTAATCTTCAAGTTTCAACGGGTGCTTGAAAAATGGGTACAACTTGAGAACCTGAATCACACAAGCCTCACTTTCTTACAACAACAAGACTTGAGTCACACAAGTTGTAACACTCTAACTTGAACAGTCTCGTGGACTATTCCAAATTAGAGAGTTAAGAGAAAATATACTAATTTCTTATAAAAAAACATCATATAAATGTTTATTAAAAACAGCGGAAACGAGTTTAATACACAATATGTTTGTGAACATAACGTCATAAAATAAAATACAAACTTTTTATTCAAGCAAATAAATAAACACATAACCGTATTTATCAAAACAGATTTAATTGCCATGTCCTGCACTTCCACTTGTTCCAGCTACATCACCCACGCACAGTAAAAACCAAAAATACTGTACGCTCAGCATATTTGCTGAGTGGTACAAAACAATATAGGACGGAGTCTCGTAAAAATATAATTTTTACGAAAATCAATATCTCACTTTCACAGAATGGATTTCCATATATGAAACTACATAGATATAAGTTAGATAAAAACTTTATAAAAGATTTTATCAAACCACTGAGATACGAAATATTCAATTTAACGACATACACCCGGGGTCTCCGAATGTAGCCCTGAGAAATAATGCCTTTTGGGCATCATTCTCGCAACCTTGGCCGATGGTTCTGTATACGTATACGATGAGC